CTTATATAAATTAAAATAATTATTATATTTATATATTAAATTACTTTTATGACTAATAATTAAAATTTAATGATTTAAGTTACAATAATATTATATATTTACATATTAAAAGTAATATAATATAAAAAAAAGTTAATCTTTTAATTCTTTTATATTTTAATTTATAATTAAAAAAAATTAGCGAGTTAATTCATCTCACTATTTCTATGTCTGTCAATTTGATGAATTAGATGAATCATACCTAAGTTGATTCAAAAAATTGATTGACAAATTGAATGTATAAAACAATATTCAAACACATGGTAGAGGAAATTATTTTAATAAAAAATTCAATTAAAAATACGTATAATGCATTTGGAAAGGTTATTTTTAAGAAAATAATTATATTTTAAAATAATTTAAAATGTTTTATGACAAAATATATGATTTTGGTTAGAAATTTAAAAAGAAGTTAAAATTCTAAATTTATATTAGAGTAATTGGATGACCTAAAATTAACAAATTATAAATTCTACTCCAGTTTTTTTTCCTTCAAACATAGAATTTTAATGAGTTAATTAAGATTTAAAAACATGAAAAGCATGTAATGTTACCACATTTATATAAATTCATAAGGAAATTGAATTCCTTTTGTTCAATTCTTCCAATGAGATTGAAGAAACACATTACACTGAGTCCCTCACATTAACCAGTCAAGTGGATCCCTCCCACTTTACTGACAGTTACACATGCATTGAGTTAAAAGTATAGAACCGATGTAAATATTGCATTATAGAATGTAAAATCCAAAATATATATTTTATTTTGTATTTTAATATATAGTTATTAACTTGACTTACAAAAATATTCAATCTGAAATGTATTTTATACATTAATTTTAATATTACTGGTTTGCTTGATAGAAACTAAAACAAGTTTAAACTTGATGAATAATATTATTGGATGCACATAATTATTTATTTTTGTTAAGAAGCCAGTTTTAAACTTAACTCAATCTTATAAAATCAAGTTTTTAAAGTAAAGTTTGCATCCACTTATATATTATAAATTAAACTATTATATTATAAATTAAACTATTGATCTTATATCTAGTTGACGTGGTACTTCCAACCATTTTAGTACAAAAACTAAGTTAAAGCATGTCTATTAAAAACTAATGTGAAGAAGTTTTTGAAAGTGTAATAAGGAAAATGACACTTGAATAACCATTTTTGACAACATTTAGACACGCGCACACGTGTCAAAATCTGAGTGGTCCAGTTGGAAAAATTAAATGAAAATGGATCATTCTTATTTTGACACGTGTGCGCGTGTCTAAATGTTGTCAAAAATGGTTGTTCAAGTATCATTTTCCGTGTAATAACAACCATGACTTCATGTATTACCCATAATTTATTCTGGTTTTGGAGGAACAATTGATGATCAAAATGGTTTCTCTTCACTTCTAAAGAAAAAAAGGCCAGAAGGGCTACCATCTGGTAGCAGTGCCAATCTCACTGCAGCTTCAGCACCTTCATCAGGTGTGAGAAAACCTGTATTGTAGTTTATATCTGTTTTCACATAGCCTGGACAAACAGCATTGATGAAGAACGAGGGATACTTCTTTGCCAAAATCCTTATGTAGGCATTAAGAGCAGCTTTTGAGACACTATATGCAGACATTGCCTGAGGCCAACCTTTGCTTTCTAGTGAACCCTCTTTAAAGGCCTTCAAAAATTCATCCAAAATCTCATCAATCTTTTCTTCTGTAAGGTTTTCAGCATCACTAAGTACTTCTTTAGGCCTTCCATCCTTCATATTCTGCAAAAAATGAACAAGCACCATTTTCAACTGCACTAATCAACAGTAAATCTATTAATTGAATCAAGTAATTATTTATCTGATTACAAACACAATCAGAACAAATAGCATTGATATGTTCAGAAGTTCAGTATCCAATTGAAAGTTAATTGCTGGTATCAGTGCATCTCACTCACATACCTCAAGCCTTCCCATGGATGAGGAAACATTCACAATTCTTGGAGAGCTTGAAAACTGAAGAAGGGGAATAAGTGTTTTGGTTAATTCCTTGACTCCATAGTAGTTTGTTTTAAGACCTGCTTCAGCTAATTCATAGGTTTCAGTCACTATTTTACTCCAATCAACACGACCAGCATTTTCCTGCACCAAACAACTCAACAATAAACCTGATTTCTTTGATGAATTGATTAAGGGAAACATCTATAAGTGCAAGCCATGATGTGAAGTTTTAAATGCTTGATTCAAGTTATGCACACTTCATCAATCTCGTTCTTTACACATATATGGGGAAAATAATTCACAAAAATTAATTAACATGATTATCGGCTACAGTTGTGAACACTAGAACATAATGTTCTTTGCACAAACAAATACACTAATTCCATTTCCAACACTAAAAAATTTGCTGAGAAAACTGTTAAAACTGGGGAAATACAATCATACCATAATGCCAGCAGCAGACAAAGCCTCACCGTCCACATGTGCTCCAGGAATTCCAGCATTGTTTACCTACACAATTCCCATGCTTCCAATATGTTTATGTTACTCTATCAACTGATTTAGAAAAAAAGGTTGATGACAAGATTACAACCAAAAAAAATTAGAAGTTTTTTCTTACCAAGATATCCAGTTTCCCATACTGGTTTTTGATGAAATCTGCCAGCGATGTTATACTTTTGGGATCAGTAACATCAAGTTGATGAAAAAGCACATGGCCAGGGAGACCAAGTTCTTTGAGTTTCTCAACAGCTTCAACACCCCTCTTCTCATCTCTGGCTGTGAGTACCACAGTGAACCCATTTGAAGCCAATTGCTTGCATATTGCGAATCCAATTCCCTTATTTGCTCCCGTCACAACAGCATACCTACAAAACAGTGTCTCAAGTTAAGCTAACATGGATACGATTCACTGAAGTTATATTCATATGAAAATTGTGGCTAAATTCAGAGTATGTTGAAGAAAAAGAAGAATTTTTTTTTACCCTTTTGTTGTTTCTGCCATTACACTTGAACGAGGGAAGTAGCTGATGAAAAAATAGTGGTCGAAAACGAGCTGCTGATAAATGATTTTGAACAACTGTGCTAATGGCCAAATGATTAAATGCTTTTGAACTTTGTGTTGAACGAAAAATTCACGATAGGTTCTATGAGATTCAGTGTTATGGCCCACATTTTTGGTTGGTTTCAGCACAAAGAAGTCTTCTCATATCTTATTTTGTGTTTTCACTTCGAACCTTGTCTTCATGAATCGGCATACACCATAGCAACAAATTTGTGGTTTTTTTATTAGATGGACAAATATCTTATTACATAAAAAAAATATAATGAGACACTTTTACCTTCATATTTATTTAAATATAGTAAAAAATAAAATAATCATAAAAATATAAACTTTTATATATATTTTTTAATACAAATAAAAAAGTTAATATTAAATAAATATAAAAAATTATCGTTCGGTGGAGATGCAACCAGTTAGCATTGTTGAGAGCCGAACTAAGTACTTCAAGGGAAAGGTCATCAAATTAGTTAAAGTTGTCTGGGACAAGAAGACGA